GTTCATCAAGAATTGCAAGAAGCCCCTATCACATGACTTCAACATTTTATGGAGAGGGAGCATGGACACAGGGGTCATCCCCCACACACTAAAAAGAACAGACATAGCCCCACTCCACAAAGGTGGCAGAGCAGCAAATGCAAAGAACTACAGACTGATAGCACTAACATCCTGGATGCTGTAAAGGATAAAAAAAATACAGATGTAGTATACACAGACTTTGCAAAAGCTTTTGACAGGTGTAACCATGGTGTAATAGCACACAAAATGTGGGATAAAGGAATAACGGGAAAAGTTGGTAGATGGATCTACAACTTCCTGACAAATAGAACACAAAGAGTAATAGTAAAGAGAGTAAGGTCCCAGGCAGCTACAGTAAAAAGCTCTGTTCCACAAGGCACAGTGCTTGCTTCCATTCTGTTCCTTATCCTCATTTCTGACATAGAGATGTAAGCCATAGCTCCGTGTCTTCCTTTGCGGATGGCACCCAGATCACCATGGCAGTGACCTCCATCGAAGACACCACGAGACTCCAAGCGGACATCAACCAAATCTTCGAATAGGCCACTCAAAACAATAGGAAGTTCAGTGAGGAGAAATTTCAACTACTCAGATATGGAAAACTTGAAGAAATTAAAAATGTGTCAGGGTATTCCACAAATTCTAACCATACATTAAAAGTCATGTGAAGGACCTGGGAGTGATAATGTCAGAGGATCTCGCCTTCAAAGACCACAACAATGTGTCTACCTCATCCGCTAGGAAAATGATAGGATGCATAATGAGAACCTTCAAAATTAGGGACACCGAGCCCATGATGATTCTCTTCAAATCACTTGTGCTCTCTAGGCTGGAATACTGCTGTACACTAACAGCCCCCTTCAAGGCTGGCGACATTGCAGACCTAGAACTTTCACGGTACACATAAGTGCGATAAGGCACCTAAATTACTGGGAGCGGTTGAAGGTCCTTGATCTGTATTCCCTGGAATGCAGGCGAGAGAGATACATGATAATATACACTTGGAAGGTCCTGGAGGGATTGGTGCCAAACCTGCACAAGAAAATCACTCCCTATGAAAGCAAAAGACTCGGCAGGAGATGCAACATTCCCCCGATGAAAAGCAGGGGCACCACGAGTACACTGAGAGGCAACTCAATAAGTGTCCGGGGCCCAAGACTGCTCAGTTGCCTCCGAGCATATATAAGGGGGATTACCAATAGACCCCTGACTGTCTTCAAGAAGGCACTGGACAGGCACCTAAAGTCAGTACCTGACCAACCGGGCTGTGGTTCGTACATCAGCTTGTATGCAGCCAGCAGTAACAGCCTGGTTGATCAGATTCTGATCCACCATGAGACCTGGTCTCAGACCGGGCCGCGAGGGCGTTGACCCCCGAAACCCTCTCCAGGTAAACTCCAGGTACTAATATTACTATTACTAATATTATTATTATTACTAATGTTACTAACATTACAACTACTACTACTACTAATATTACTACTACTACTACTACTAACATTACAACTAATAATAATATTACAACTAATAATAATATTACTACTACTTTTACTCCTACTACTTTACTATTACTACAGATATTACTACTACTTCTACTACTACTACTTTACTATTACTACAGATATTACTACTACTTTTACTCCTACTACTTTACTATTACTACAGATATTACTACTACTTCTACTACTACTACTAATATTACTACTATTACTACCTCTAACATTACAATGACTGCTAATAATAATACTACTACTATCGATATTACTACTTCTACTGATATTAATACTACTACTGATATTACTACTACTACTACTGATATTACTACTACTACTGATGTTACTACTACTACTGATATTACTACTACTACTGATATTACTACTACTACTGATATTACTACTACTACTGATATTACTACTACTACTGATATTACTACTACTACTGATATTACTACTACTACTGATATTACTACTACTACTGATACTACTACTACTGATATTACACACTACTGATATACTACTACTACTGAATTACTACTACTACTGATATATCTAAACTACTGATATTACTACTACTACTGATATTACTACAACTACTGATATTACTACTACTACTGATATACTACTACTACGATTTTACTACTACTACTGATTTTACTACTATTTACTTTGATATTACAAACTACTACTGATATTACTACTACTACTGATATTAATACAAACTACTGATAATACTACTACTACGATATTACTATACTACTGATATTACTACTACTACTGATATTACTACACTACGATTTTAAACTACTACTACTAATATTACTACTACTACTGATATTACTACTACTACTGATATTACTACTACTACTGATATTACTACTACTACTGATATTAATACTACTACTGATATTACTACTACTACTGATATTACTATTACTACTGATACTACTACTACTGATATTACTACTACTACTGATATTACTACTATTACTACTACTACTATTACTGCTACTATAGGTCCGCCATCACAAATCCGACAATCAGTTATTCGGTTCCTTCAGTTATTCGGCACTAATTTTGGCTAGCATAATTTTAAATTTCCAGGATCGCCACACCAACCTGCTGGTACTGTTTGGTGGCGCTACTTGCTGCATAAGTCATTCCAATTTCTTTTTCTCCATTTATTGTTTTAACGTGCTTACTTTTAGCCCTAGCCATGGTTCCAATGCATAAAAGAAATGCTTCTCATTATGTAAAGCACCTACACAGTACATTATCCATTAAAGATAAGGTGACTTTGAAGCCACTGTCGGTTGCCATGAACTCAGTCTCGTGAAGCAGGAGAATATAAATAACATAAAACATGTTAAATACTCCAGAATGAATAATATTTGGCATAACACCGAGCAGTTCGACAGAGTTATGAAGAGGATATGGTAAACAAATACCATTCTCCTATCCTTGTCTTGGTGGCTTATATTAGAGAAAACGGAGTATAGCACAGGGCTATGATATACACTCGTACTGCACCATAAACATGGAACAAAAAAGTTATTTTCTCTCTATAGATTATCACACATAGCAGCATATGTGTAGAGAACCTAGGATAGCCCCAAAAAAGTCAACATGGCTTATTTTTAGTACCTGGCTTGGGTTAGCCATATATGATTTTTGGTAAATATTCGATTTCCAGCCAGGGTAGAAACATTAGGCGTGTTTCTTTACACCTGTTGTCTATGTTTACCCATCAGTAAATGGGTACCTGGGTGTTAGTCGACTAGTGAGGGTGTTATCCTGGGACACTGACCTAATTTTCTTGAAATACTCTGCATAACAAGTGGCTTTCTATACAGTAGTATGTCACTGATGTCAGCTAGGCCTGTATACCTTGTACATGTACGTGTAGTAAATAAAGATATTATTATTATTATTATTATTATTATTATTATTATTATTATTATTATTATTATATTATTATTATTATTATTATTATATATTATTATTATATATTATTATTATTATTATTATTATTATGATATTATTATTATTATTTTCTCAGTTGTTTGTTGGGTTATGTTATTCAAACTTGGGCAATGTATGATGGAAAGATACTTCTTCACTTACACCAAAAATGAAAGAAATCAGACCATAAATAGCGGAGTTCACTTCTCAGCCATTAGCAGCCGCTTAGCGGTATATTTTTGTATGGTTGTTATGGTTATATTTTCATTTTTTCAGTCTCATTTGATAGAATGAAAGATATATTACAGAAATAGATATGATTTTGATTGCTTTCATGATGAAAAGTACCTTGAAATTGCGCTCACAGTAGCAAAAATGTTATATTCTTTAGTGAAGCTCAAGAGTAAACAAATAACATCACCGTCCAGTAACTGTCCGCCTGCCAGTCTAAATTCTAGTACGGAGTCAAGAATGGCTTGACATTATTTATACAATTATTACAATAATGCAGTAGTCTGCATAGCAGCAAATCTTCTATTTTTTTGTGAATAAAAATTCCAAATGGTAAGCAAGAGTAATATAAGAGGGGCATGTAGCCGTGACTAATGAACAGAGAAAATGTTATTTTAGTGCCAGGAATGTCTACATTGTTTATTCTGGACCCTATTTTGAAATTAGCATCTGTTGAAATTTGTGTGAAATCGGCCAAATTGCCAATTTCTGACCACTTTATTGGGTAGTTGAAATAAGTGAATGGGCAGTTTCTTGTACCCAGTTGACAGACTAGAAGTAAATAAGTTTATTCAGGTATACACAAATACAGTTACATTATCATACATAGCAGTGTATGTATAGAGAACCTGGGATAACCCAGAAAAGTCAGACAAAGTGACTTATTTCCAGTACCTGGCTTGGGCTTGCCATATATGATTTTTGGTAAATAATTTTTTTTCTCGGTTGTTTGTTGGGCTATCTCATTGAAACTTGGGCAATGTATGATGGAAAGATGCTTCTTAACATACAACAAAAATAAAAATGACAGACAATAAATAAGGGAGTTCTCTTCTCAGCCATTAGCCGCCTCTTTGCAGTATATTTTCGTATGGTTTTTATGGTTGTATTCTCATTTTTTGGACTCATTTGATAGAATGGAAGATATATTACAGAAATAGACATGATTTTGATTGCTTTCATGATGAAAAGTACCCTGAAATTGAGCTCAAAGTAGCAGATATGTTCGATTTTTGCTGATGTTCAGTGAACTGTGTAAGTCAAGTTGGTTAATTTTATTAAGTGTATTCTAACCTAACCACTCTGTAATCCGGCAAACTCAGTAATCCGGCACATTACAGGTCCCGATGATGCCAGATTTGTGATGGAGGACCTGTATTCTCTTTTCCCTCCCTCCTCCTAGCCTGTATTCTGTTCTTCTCTGCTTGATCTTTCTTGCTTGTGACTTCAGTAATTTTCGTAATATGTCATTCTTACTCAATACTTGTTCAGTTAGTAATTTCTCAACAGAGCCTCTGAAAGAAGAAGCGCCACTGGTGGATAACAACAATGGCTTCTGTGATTTCCTTGTGAATGCAGACCACAAATACGACGTGAAGGATGGGCCGAACCTCACAAACACTCTCAACAGTACGTGGGCTTTGTGTGGTTTACATGTATTAAAATAATGATACAGAGTGTACCACAGAACGCCAGCATGGCTAGGCATTTCGGGCGAGACGTAGTTACTACTTATATTTAAAAGTATTACAATTAGAGTAAGTTTGTATTATGGCTAAGTGACTAAATACTAGTTTGTAGAGTTTAGCAATGTCTGAATGCTTTTGTTTTGCACAGTACATATTTACAGTAATTGGAGTATCAAGGATACATTATAAATTTTAAGATTGAGATAATATTCTGTTTTATGGACCAAAAGGGTGAGTGAGTGCTAAGAGTGAACCACCAGGTGGTATTCGTGTTATTAGATTGATGGGGTTTATCCAGGGAATAAATTTTTCTAATGGTATTTGAAGGTGATGAATGTGTCTGCCAGTTCTAGAGTTCTCAGTAGGGTGTTCCAAATTTAGACCTTTGACAATACATTGAATTTTTGTAAAGGTTTAGTCGGACCATGGAAAGTTTAGAGATGTTTGTGTCTGGTGTTAACCGTGGGTTCTGTCACAACTATCAAGAAAGCTTTAGGTCAAGGTTGATATTGGAGTTTAAGGTCCTGTAGATGTAGATTGCACATATAAGTGTGGATGACCTGAACAGTAGTAATTTTAAATATGAAAAGTGGGGGGGTGTGGTGCCAGGGATGGGATATTAGTGATTTTTCTTACTGCAAGCTTTTGTTGGGTTAATTATTGGCTAAGTGTGTTTGCTGCATTGATCCCCAAGCCCAAATAGCATAGGTGAGTATGGATAAATAATGAGTGGTAGAGTGTGATAGGCATTTTTGCGGCCACTAGTATCGTATCTTGAGGGATTCCCAATCTGTTTTGGATACTTTTTTGTTATGTGTCGGATAATGGTGCTGAAATACAGGTTTGTCAAGGTATAGGCCTAGAATTTTGCCCACATTCTTCGTAATTAGAGTGTTGTCGATCTTTATGTAATTTGTGCATCTCCTGCTCTGCTACCAAACATAATATAGTAGGTTTTGTCAGTGTATAAGCGTAAGTTTATTGGCTGTCATCCAAGATGATATTTTTGATCACTCCTCTTAACACTGTGTTGAGGGCAAGATTAAGGTGAGAATGACATAAACGAGTCGCAGCAAAGCAATGGTTCAGGTGTTGTATTAACGTTTGGAAGAATCATTGATGTAAATGAGGAAGAGCAGGGACCAAGGACACTTCCCTGCGGACTCCCAGTATCAATGGCCGTGTTGTTGATGCGTGTCTTTTAATGGTAACATACTGATCCCATTAGTAAGGTATAATTTGAAATAAGAAGCGCATGGCCCTCTTATACCGTAATGGTCAGGTTTGCGTGAGTAGATGTCGTGGTCCTACTGTGTCCAAAAGCTTTCTTAGGTCAATAAAAATTCCTAGTTATAATCCTTATTTCCAATCTGTGTAAAGCAGATCTACTAGCATTTTTATGATTGCTCATTAGTGCATATATTTTTCTAAGTCCATAATTGGCAGGGGTGAGTAGGTTTTGTGCAGTTATAAATAATATAGTCTCCTGTGCACAATTTCTCAAAGATTTTGGATAGCAATGGAAGTTTGAATTGGCCCTATAGTTTGTATTAAGTCTGTAGGTCACCACCTTTATGTATTGTGTAACCCTTGGCCATCTTGAGTAGATTTCGAAGGTGCTAATTTTCTAGTGACTTGTTAAAAACGTAAATGAAATAGCAAGCGAAAGGATAAGGTCCGCTCGCTTGTACAGTAAGGTGGGACCTTAGACAGATTCCCTACGTTGATTTTAAGTGACTTTCTTAATCCTCGGTGACTTCCGAGGCTCAGTTGTGCAAGATGAAGGAATACTGGGAAATTCACCATCTAGTAGTCCCCGCAATGGGCATTAAGTATGTGGAAAATAATGGCGATATTAGATCCTATGGTTGAGAAAACGACGATTAACTTGTTACTGTGTCTGTTGGATGTAGTGTGTTCATTAGTTTAAGTTATGGACCATATTTGTTTTTTCAGTTTGTTGGTCCCTAGAATCGAAGAGTGTTTTCCAGGTCTTGTTTTTTTGTATCTCCTCTAGTGTCTGTGAATCTACTGAGTAATATATTGTATGGCTTTTCATTATTACTTTGGTGAGAACTGATGAATAGTGTTTAAGAATATCTTGTGCATTAAGCCCTGTCCTATATTTCTTTTCAGATTGGTGTTTCTTGTCAATGATTTCAGAATGGTGCTGGTTAGCCATGGGCAACCAAGCAGTTGTTTGTGATCTGTTCGTTTTTATAGACAATGTTTGTTGTATAGTCTAGTAATTTGTTAAGAAAATGTCTGTCCGGGGGGTCATCAAATACCATTGGCCTGAAATTCTGTTAGGCCAGTGAACAATCTCTAGTCAGTTGTTAATCTTCCATATTGACCTCGTCATGGATCCTAAATAGACTTTTTTGTATTCAAGTGGTGGTTATTAAGTGTTTTCCCAGGAGGAAGGAGGAGGTAGTGGTCTAAGTGTTGCTATCTGTGATTATCCTAAATTTAAGGGGGCTAAGTATATGGTCCATATGTGGTCTATTAAGGTTGCACTTGTCACAGTGAGCCTGGTTGGTTTTAGATGGAGGAGGATATGGAGGAGGAGGGATGAAAGATAACATTTGATAAGAGCTGATGTTTGATGAACTTTTTTTCGATTGTACAGTGTAAGACTTATAAAAAAATTAGGCCTTCCCTATGTTTTCGCTGTACACAAACATGTCTGTCTATTTGTCAGTCTGTTAACTCTCTTTCTTCCGTCCCTACTGACTCACGAAATAATATCCCGCTGTGGTATGGTCCGTCTAGTGCTTTGTCTCAGAGAGAGCCACAAGACTGTGTCGTCATCACATTTACTCACATCTTCAAGCAGAGTATAGCACTTTTTCTGGATTTTTTGGTTATCCTAGTAATTTACACTATTATACTTATAATGTGTACCCTGTAGACGCAGACAGATAGAAAGAGATAGACAGAGACAGATAGAGACAGGGATAGACAGAGACTGGGATAGACAGAGACAGATAGACAGACAAAGATAGAGACAAACAGAGATAAACATTGACACAGACAAACGGAGAAAGAGCCAAGCAGCCCAGCCCAGCCTTCCAGCCAGCCAGCCACCACCACCAGCCAGCCACCAGCCGCCAGCCAGCCAGCCAGCCAGCAAGCCAGCCACCACCAGCCAGCCACCAGCCAGCCCCCAGCCCCAGTCCCCCGCCAGCCATCCACCAGCCAGCCAGCAGCCAGCCAGCCAGCCAGCCAGCACAGCCAGCCAGCCACCACCAGCCACCACCCAGCAGCCAGCCAGCCACCAGCCAGCCCACACCGCCAGCACCACCAGCCAGCCACCAGCCAGCCACCAGGCCAGCCAGCCAGCCCACCTCCAGCCACCCAGCCAGCACCAGCCCGCCGCCAGCCAGCCAGCAGCCAGCCAGCAGCCAGCCACCAGCCAGCGCCACCACCAGACCAGCCAGCCATCCAGCCAGCCAGCCCAGCCAGCCCAGCCAGCCACCAGCCAGCCAGCCAGCCAGCCTGCCAGCCAGCCAGCCAGCCACCACCCAGCCACCACCAGCCAGCACCAGCCCAGCCAGCCAGCCCAGCCAGCCAGCCAGCCAGCCAGCCAGCCACCGCCAGCCAGCACCACCAGCCAGCCACCAGCCACCACCAGCCACTCAGCGCCACCACCGCCAGCCCAGCAGCCAGCCAGCCGCCAGCCAGCCAGCCAGCCAGCCAGCCAGCCAGCCAGCCAGCCACCACCACCAGCCAGCCAGCCACCAGCCAGCCAGCCAGCCAGCCACCAGCCAGCCAGCACCCAGCCATCCAGCCAGCCAAGCCACCAGCCAGCCAGCCAGCCCCAGCCAGCCAGCCACCAGCCAGCCACCAGCCTGCACCACCGGCCACCAGCCGCCAGTCACCAGCCAGCCAGCCAGCCAATCCAGCCAGCCAGCCACCAGCCACCAGCCCAGCCCAGCCAAGCCCATCCACCACCACCAGCCAGCCCACCCCCAGCCAGCCACCAGCCAGCCACACCAGCCAGCCGACCAGCCAGCCAGCCAGCCACCGCCAGCCAGCCACCACCACCAGCCAGCCCCCCCAAAGCCAGCTAGCCAGCCAGCCAGCCAGCCAGCCACCAGCCAGCCAGCCAGCCCAGCCACCAGCCACCAGCCAGCACCAGCCAGCCACCAGCCAGCCAACAGCCACCGCCAGCAGCCAGCCAGCCAGCCAGCCACCAGCCATCCCAGCCAGCCAGCCAGCCAGCCACCAGCCAGCCACCAGCGCAGCCAGGCCAGCCAGCCAGCCAGCACCAGCCACCAGCCAGCCAGCCAGCCACCAGTCCATGCCCGCCCACCAGCCAGCCCACCAGCCAGCCAGCCAGCCAGCCAGCAAGGCCAGCCAGCCACCAGCCAGCAGCCAGCCCAGCACCAGCCAGCCAGCCAGCCAGCCACCAGCCATCCACCAGCCACCAGCCAGCCACCAGCCACCACCAAGCCACCAGCCACCACCAGCCAGCAGCCAGCCAGCAGCAGCCAGCCAGCCAGCCAGCTCAGCCAAGCCAGCCCACCAGCAGCCAGCCAGCAGCCCAGCCAGCAGCAGCCACCAGCCATCCACCAGCCAGCCAGCCAGCCACCGGGGGCCAGCCACCAGCCAGCCAGCCAGCCATCACAAGCCAGCCGCCAGCCACCAGCCAGCCACCAGCCAGCCAGCCAGCCCGCCAGCCAGCCATTTATTAGAACTGTGCCAATCCTTCCCAAATTTTGAAGCAGAAAAACTTAAAGTTCTGTACGTTTGGGGCACTAGCGGTAAAAACAAACATATACCTTTGTCTGTTTATGGGTTAATGGCACTAGAACAGCCTTGAGAGTCACTGCACACCTGTGGCACTAAAATACTGCCCAGAGAGCATCTGTTTCTGGCATCTCTTTAACATAGGGGACGCGCTAAAATGGAGCGAAACGAGAGAGTCCATTGTACATTTGCTACATGCTTGCAAGCTTTGTCCA